TTCCCTTATCTACATTCTTCTATCAACTAGAGGCTACTCACCTTGGAGACCTGATGCGATTTTGGTATGAACGAGGGTGCGAATAAATCTCTAGGCGGGACTTTCGAGGGCTATCATGGGCGCACAGAACACTTTACAAATCAAAGTGCTTTGCCAAGGCATCCTCCTTATCTCCGAGTAATCCGATTCCAAGGAAATATATGCATGTTGAAAAGGAAAGAGAACTCTTCCCTGGGCTCACGCCAGCGTCTTCTGGTTTGGGTTGTGTTACCACATATTATCTACGTCTCAGTTTATGAATTTAAACCGAGCTCCCTTTCGATACACGAGGATACATACAAAACGCATGGCCGAATCCACGTCCCAAACAGCCGAGCTCTAAAACGAATTTTTATATCTCTTAGGATCAACTTACCCATGTCCAATTACTGATCACACGGAACCTTTCTCCACTTGAACCTTGAAAGACTTCCACTCGAGACTATCGACTAAAAATTTGGGCACAGGTGTAAAAAAAGGTGGATCACATATGTCACAGCAGTAACAATATTTAGTACGTTTTTGTCAATAACCCTTAGAAACTTAAATAACTTATAGAAGGTGGCAGAGCAAATTTAGATGCCAAAATGGTTCCTATAAGATGATTTTAGAAAGCTTCTTCTTACACAGAAAAAACAAGTTTTATTTATTGCGTTAATATATGCTTTGCATAATTGATAGCCCTCGTTGTCGTTGACGACAGAATTTGCGCGGACTGCTACTCATATAAAGACCCATTTTTCCTTAATTCCAGTGCCTTTGTAAGTCACAATAAGCATACACAGATTCACGTTTGACTTTTAAATCCTCTGCAGCATCTTTACACACGACAACATTTTTTTAAAGAATGATGGTTCCTGATCTGAGCGCGTGTCACGCAGAAAGTAAGTGAGAAAATCTCTTTTATTTCCTGTTTGTTCGTGCTTTATATAAAAGTTTTGAAATCGAAATGGGCTTGCCGCGAATACCACTCTTTAAGCACCTTATAGATCTTGCTCATTGTATGATGAAGGAGTTCATTGTGTGCTATATCGTGGTGGCTCTAGGCCGTATTTAAGTCATCCTTATCGTCCAATTAAGGTAACAATTTGACTATAAATGTGTCAGTCTGCGGAATGGAAAAAGTTTGTGCCGAAAGGTTTACAGAATGAAAAGGAAAGTATTTGTAACGAAGTGTAACCTTGTCAAGTATTGAGCCTACCTGTTTGGCTCTACGTCGATTGTGATCTACACAGTTCATGTATCGTTGCGCACAGCGACGTCGTCACCGCATCTCTTACAAACAGTGGCAAGATAGGAAACCTTTTTCGCCGAGTAAACTCTATCGTAACAAATTTGAATTTGAACACGGTATGGTATATCCATAATCAGAAATTTCTCACTCGAGATGGGTCCAATCGATAAACTATATAAATTCAAGGTTACTTGCATTATGCAGTAGAAGCAGCTTTGCCTACTATTCAGCACGAATTAACTGATTGACGCCTTACTTCACACATTGTTGACGAATGTCGGCTGCAAAAATGTAGACAAATTTGTTTAGCATCATGGTAGCCGCGGTGTTATATGCCTTTCGAAGCGGATGGTCCTTTCTTAAAAAAGCATATCAAAAATTAAACTATAAGAAGCTGATGACTTGCATGTTGTTACAATCAGTGTTTTTCGTGACAAAGATGACAACGTGTGGACTACGTTTTCAAAATGCCGCTTTGGCTCTAAGATCATAGCATTCTGAACAAAATAAACGGTATCGAAATAACATTATGACAGCAAGAAGCTTATCTGAGAGAGCTCGGGATGTTGGCAAGTTATGCTTGTTTAAGAATATGTTGTAAGCCCAAAAAGATTAATTAGCATCTCGAACACACCAATGCACCACATAGCTCGTAGCTTTTATCATTATTTGTTTGGTCTCTTTAAGTAGAGCAAAGCCAACATCGTCAAGTATCGTCACAAGTTTAAAGATCACGAAGAGCCATTAGGAAGAGCAGAACGGTGAGATCACCAGACTGGAGATTAAGTACAGACAAGGATCTGAGCTTGTCACTGTTCTAGTAAAGACGTCAATAAGGACACAAAAAGGGCTTGAGCGAAAAGGAATGACTCAACGAATATCAGGAGTCGTGCGGATCCCGTTTGTGCTTTGCGAGAGAGACATTACACAAGGCAGGTATTAGTACTGTCCTCAAACCAGGAGTGCGCAATAATTCACCAAGTTTCTGTCAAGTAATATGCCAATGGTCCAAACTATAGGGGTTGAGTGGCGCCAAAGACGTTTTCTCCCGTGTCGAGCACAAAGCAATAAGAATTCTCTATTCGTCGCTGATATTTTGCACCAAAGGCATATACTGACAGCTGGCGTAATGTGCATGCTTACAATGAGTTAAGTGCAGAGATCGTATCGGCAAAAACACCGATTTGGCAAGAGAACATGCTACAGAACTGTGAACTCGGGAGTTTTCTGTACGATGCTGTAGCCCTGATCAGTGCATATACAAGTAACCTCTTCATCGCTTAGTGATATCTCTCAGTGGAAGGGGATGGTTGAGCCCAGGGACAGTCTTACGTACCAACGACGTTCGACCGAATGTTGTTACAACTAGTGAGGCCACGTCATGCCAATGTACATACCTATTTTGATGAATTAGTTACCCATGCTTCTGCACAGCATGGGTAGTTAAAAAAGGGAAATCCACATATATCACTTGCAAGCGGTGCTTGTGTGTATGCGCTTGACTGTGCTTTTTAATCATAGACTAGCGTGTCTCTAGATAGTATCTTGCTCGGTCAACAGCTTTAACAAATAAAGAACAATTGAATCTTATCCGCAAAACCCCTGCCAGTCTTATATTAACGTTAGTCATGTGGTGGCAGGAAGGCGCATGCAGGGCTGCCTTCGAGACAGCGCAAGAAAGCCTCATGTGTGATCTGATTCTGACATGTTCAGGGCCATGGCCATTTCATGTCGCCAGTGAATACTTGGCTTTGTCTTGGTCGATGCATTGCATGATATAGATCACGATAGCAATAAATGCATTAATATTTCTCAGCAAAAGCGGCAATGAATCAATCTTTTTAATGACAAAGACCTACTTGCTGTGAAGTGCGCTCTCGTCAAGGCCAGGGCAAACGTGATCGGCTTAATGCCGTTCACGATCGGTACGGATCGTGTACAGCGACTTCTTCCCCATATCTCTTTCAAAATTGGAAAGGTGACCGCACATTATTACCGAGAGTAATTTCGGGGTAAGTAAGGTAAAAGTCAAGTCGTCTTGACGTGGTAAAAAATGGAGTTTTTGTTTCACTCAAACTGTGAAGTGTCTCATCTCACGGTTGACGACACGCATTTAATGCTACGCACAGCGTGCAGATCAGATTTGTACTTTTTTTAAAGCACTGGGACGAAATACTTTCATGAGTTTGGATGTCACTTCTCGAAGCATTGTAATGCAAGTCTGCAAAGGATATTTCTGGTTGAGGCCCGCTGTGCGAGCTTGTCCCACTTGAAAGCGGAATCTCGTGATAAAAATCTTGACCCCCTCTAGGAGATCATCTAGAGAAAAGACATACGTCTTTGTTAGCGCTGTGGCAATCTCTTATATGCCCACGGACATATCGTGTCAACTTTTGACTTATGAGCGAGTGCCTTTCGTAAGACTGACATTTCTGGCAAAGTGTTGGTATATACAAGCTTAATTATACCAGCATTGCGGTCTTTTCAGACCGGCTAAGCGAAACGGCTGTTATCGTTGCTGTTAACAAAAAATCTTATCGATAGGGATACAGCCAGCTGTGTATCGATAAAACATTATCTAGCACAGCTTGTCAATGATTGTTGTATATATTATATCGAGATTGCCGTCTTACAGTAGAATTTCAGTAAAATGATATTTCGGTGCGTTGGGCGTCATGCGCCGAGTGTGCGACGTTATGGTGAAATT